ATAGTATCAATGGTGTATTATACATATAAGGAACTTATATGAAAAGAATTTACAGCACTGCTTGAGATAGAAACACCCAGCTTGGGGATACAAACTGAACAAATGTTCCCTTGAAATGAAAAATTATTAAATTACTCTGGGATTCCAAACTAAAACAGTGCAATGACTTGCTTCAGAGTAGACTGAATCAACAGTGACACCTGAATGAAACAAAATGATAAGTAAAAAGAGATAATAAAGTGTTATGTTTTAGAGTGAATTCTACAGTCAGCTTAGGGAGTTGAATACCTGTACAGTCTGAATGACCACTATAAAAAGTAATATGCCACGAATGGGTATATGGCGGGTGAAAATAATATCAATATTAATTTTCAGGGATTCATGGAAGATGCTTCTAATATACCTAAACACAAATAAAAGCTACAAAAATGATTAAGCAGTTCCTCAAAAAGTTAAACATAAACTAATTATATGACCTAGCAATTCCATTTCTAGGTATATACCTAAAAGAAATGAAATCAGGTACACAAACAAATACTTGTATATAAATGTTAATAGCAACTCTATTCACAACAGCTAGAGGTGGAAACAACACAAATGTCCAACAATTGGTGAAAGGATAATAGAATGTTTTATATCTATACAATGAAATATTAATGAACCACAGGAGAGACACACCGATACATGATACAATATGAACTTTGAAAACATTAAAAAGATCTTGCATTTATATGAAACACTGAGAACAGGGAACTTCATAGACCGGAAACATATTGATAGTTGTTGCAGGGGAGGGAGAAATGCTGAATGACTACTTATTGTTATAGGGTTTAATTTGGGGAGGATGAAATGTCTTGGAATTAGATAGAGGTGGTAATTGTGTAAATTCTAAATAGACTAAAAGCCAATGAATTGTATACTTTATAATAGTTAATGGTGAATTTTATATTATAAAATTTGACCTTAAAATGTAACAGCTAAGCAAAAAAACCAAAGTGGCCAAAATCATAAAAAACTGCAAATCATATGTATGTAAAGCCACTCTATAAGAGTGAATTAAAAATCACACATTTATTGTTCATAAAGGTAAAATCTTAAAAAAAAAAAAATAGCGTATGCCTTTAAGACTTGTAAATTGTGGTCACTAGAAAATGAGCACCAAATTTGTCAGCTCTTGGTTTAGAGACCAAAAAAAAAAAAAAAAGTTCACTTAATCAGGTGTTTCTTATTAAAATGTTCCAAATGTCAGAATACAACAAAGGATTACCCCAGTTTTCTTGCCCTTTTTTAAGCACTTGGGCAAGGAAAAACTTGATTACCTGAATTTTGACAACCATTATAACATCTTTGCTTAAATATGTCTATAATTAAATAGTTTTATAAGTGGGTTTCTGAATTCAACCTGGCTTATATAGCAGAGTTAAAAGTACAAAATTGTGAATTTAGTTAATATGCAATACAGTGCTTATAAATGCTATCCTGAAAATTTAAGTTTTGTTGGTTTGTTTTTTGAAAAAATATGTGACAATGATGCAGATAAAAGCAATGTGGGGAAGATATTTTTTGTTAAAAGCAATATCAACTTAAAAGGGGGGAAAAACTAACAGAAACAGATTATTGCAGACTTACCTCAAATACCCATGAATTCCTTATTGTGCAATTTTCAGTCAAAGTCACCATTATATAAAATGTATTCTTCTTCACTATGTTCTTTGTTTCCAGTTTAATTGGAAACTTTATTTTAAAATGAATCTTGAAACAATTTTGGTGTCTCCTCTTTTCATTACTTCAGTAATAAAAATACAACTAGCACACTATAATACTTGGTGATGGTCTAATTACATTCAAGGGAAATAAAGTATCTAGTTTCCCTACTTCAATTGTGTGATTATAGTGCTGAAAAATTCTGTAAATAAAGCAACAACTGAAACAATCTTGGCTGTTTTGTAAATACTTATGAGTCTTAAGTTGTTAGCACTCTGCAGAAGTATTTAACAGCCATTTTAACCATTAATTTCAGAAATGTCCTTGGTAAGGTGCATGTTGTACATTCTTTCATACCGAACAGGTCTCCATAATATAAATGCTCCCTTCAGTTATGACTTACTCCATTTGTCAAGTAGTTACTGGTATTTGGTCAATTATTGTCCATATTATCGAAGATCTAATCTCAGGCCAAGGTAGATCAACACATGAAATAAATTGAATGAATATGTCATTGCATATATTTACCTTTATCTTTTGAAAAGTTTAGAGCAGCGATCATATTAATTAATGCATTGTACATAAGATTGCTTGATAACAGCTGTTAATATGCATTTTTAAGACTGGAGGGTATGGTGATTTATCTAGCTATAAGGGCAACGACTTATGTTCAACTAAGCATATGGATTGCTATAAATTATTATTATAACATGCATGGAGACACAAGGGACATTTAATCCGCTAACATATTTCTCTAACATATATTAAATAAAGGTTTATATTATTTTCATATTGTAATATGACACAACATGAACTATCTGATAGCACCTTAAATCATCTTCATAAATTTTGAAACACTTAACTTTTTTTTTAATGCAGATGTAAACTAGTTTTTTAAAAATATTCGAGGAACAAACTAGAAACAAATAAAAGCTCTGAGGACTATACTAAAGAAAGCTTGAAATATCAAAGCAGTTTGTGTTTTCCTGCTGTAAGCATTTTATCTCGTTATATTTTTGATAGATGGGACAGTTGAGTTACCTTGAACACTATTAGTTCAACTTACAAATGACCTGGTTGGAGATATTAGAGATAAAAATTCACCTTCTCCTGATATTGCCGTCTTGAGGAATCCAAAGACTGAATTAAAGCTGTGGCGTGGCCGACAAACATGGCATAGCAAGTGGCCCCGACGATCATGCTCAGCATGGTAATCCAGAGGTCAGACATGCTTACAGGGGCCTGGGCGCCATATCCTATGCACAACATGTGACTCATGGCTTTGAAAAGTGCATATGAATACTGCTTTCCCCATGAATCATTCTGGAACAGAAAAAGAAAGAAAATGGAGTCATAAAAGCAAGATAAGGACCTGTAGACAACAGCACTATAGAATAGTGAATATGGAAAACATTCTTGCAATGGAGCATCATTTACACATATATGTCTCCCTAGTCACTAACTAAGTGATTTGATGTTCTTTAAAACCTGCCTAGCACGATGAAATAGAAAGTCTGCTGTTGATACATGCATTCCTAGTCAGATTTGGGCTTGGTGTTTTTAGTTTGAAATTTTTATTGATGTAACACTTCACTGGGTTACAACTAGGTTTCAAGTGTACAACATTATGTAGTTCAACATGTGTATATGCTAGTTATAATCTCCAACAAAAGCTGGTTTCCACAAACCACCTGTTTTACCCATGGCTTCCTCATCCACTTCACCTCTGGTAGCCACCATTATGCTGGAAAATCTCAGGATTTGCTTTAATTTTGTTGTTGTTGCTGCTCATTTGCCTTGTTTTATTATTTCCCTTAAATTGGTGAAAACATATGGTATGTGTGTTGTTTTTAAGCTAAAATTTCTTTTGGGACAATGGTGTTCACGTAAAGATGCCAAGAATGAATGTGTTGTGTTCATTTAAGGTTTCCAGAACATGTACTCACTCTCTACTACTATGTCTGGAAGCTGGGTCCAAAGTATAGGAATTTTTATCAACACTATGGTATGTGGATTTTTTTTTAATCTAAACTGATGTATTTTTTTCAGTCCATAATTTATATTTCTACATTGAAAAGTACTCATATTTTGAAAATACAGGTTTGATAAATGGAGAGGCTTCTTTAAATCCTCTCAAAGAGTAATGCACATAGGTCTTCAAATGCCAGGGCTAATGATGGATGTATCCTGTCAGAATTTTATAAAATAATAAAATAAAACAAGTAAAATAATATATTGGCAAACGGTCTGAGTAAAAATTGAATTCTAAGATTAGTTACTAGATACAAATTCTAATGTCACTTTAAAACGTTACTCCAAGTTTTATTCTATAAAAATAAGCTGTTTGATATATTGTATCTACTCTCTGATATAATTTAAAGAATTTTGATCCAATTTACATAATGTATGAGGCCCAGCACAAAATGAAAACTTGGGAACCTTTATATTAAATTGTAGAAAAATAGTTCTGTTAAAGATAATAATATCGCAAAACATTTCCTTTAAACTATTTCATTATATATGAAACTAATCAGATAATAGTTCTAGATGAACAGCAACAAGTTGCAAAAATAATTTAGTATCATAATTATATATATATATATATAAAATAATAGTAGTATTTATTGTGTTATCTAGAGTGGTCAAATACTTTTTCTAGCTAAATTTTCTAATATTCCATTTCTTCAGTCTTCAAAACTTACACAATTAACTACTTGATTTTCAGTTATAAGATTGAAAGTGACATCAATTGCTTTGAGCTAATCTAAAACCAAAGTAATTTCTGATACTTTTCAATTTTGAGAAAGGTCTCTCTCTTGATATACCTGCTATTAGAGTTTTTTAATTAAAATTATTAAAATTTAATTTACTATGGGTGTTTAGCAAGCCTGAGGAAATAGAGTGATATTTTTTAGATTTATTTTTAAATAAATCTTATTTATTTTTATTTATAAGAACTGGAGCACAGGTGAAAGGTGCAGGGTGTGAGAGGATTTCACCAGAGACAGAGTAGGGAGCAGAACAGGCAGATCTGCTGAAAAATACTACTGAGGGGAACAGTGGGCAAGACAGGAGAGGTCTGCTGTGTTATGTGGATTAGTTTGCTGGTCTGGGATCAAACTTGTACTGCAGCAGCTGGCAATAGTTTGATATTGCTGAGACTTTAACCCCTGCACTACAAAAGAGACTCTTGCTCTTAGAACTATCAAGAATGCCTTGTATGCTATGGTGACATTGGAATATATTTCTTATAAATTATTTTAAAATATAAATTTTAGTATATTTGGAGATATGAGGCTCATGGAGTAATTTTTCTATTACAAAAATGACTTCAAAAAATTGGTTTTATGTAGGTTTTGAATGATTTTTCAAATTAAATTTAAATTATTAAAACTAAAGTTTTTATTTCAAGATAATCTCCCAAAGGCTACCATCTTTCAAACTATAGTTCAATTTCATAACCAAGAAACTGACATGATTCAATTTACTGAACTTATTTGTGTTTCATTGATTTATATGTAATAATTTGTGTGTGCATTTAGTTCACTGTGACTTTATCACATGTTGGCTCATACATTTATCACCACAGTTAAGAAACAGAAAAATTTCATTGCAACAAAAACACTATACTGCTTTTATATTGGTTAAGTATATTGTTGAATACAATTAATGCACAGAAATTTTTGTATTTCCTCTAACAGCTCCTGTAACTTGCCAAGGTCATGTAATAAGCCAAAAGTAATTGTATGACTTGTATATATATAAACCCAAACACAAGTTTATGCATTCTATCCTTATATTTTCACTTACAGTATAAGAAGTTTCATTTTAAAGATTGTTTTCCTTGCTAATAATAGGCCCATTGAAAGCTTCATGTAAAAATAGTGATGTTTTCCATCAAAATGATGAGCTTTTAATTTTACTAAGGTCTCTAAGCTGATCACTGATTTTTTTTTTTTTTTTTACAAAATGCCACTTCATTTTTATTCCTTTGGAAAGATAAATGTGATCAGTAAAGTAATAGATATTAAGTTGAAAGAGCAATAACTTTATAAGAAAAATGTGTTTTAAAATATCACTAGTGGTTAGCACAAGGTACCAAGCAATGCTGGTATCTGTTAAAAACAGACATATCACCTAGTTTTCAAAACTAGATATTTTGAATTATGGATGGTTCTAATAACTCCCAGTTACTTTATGGTCATGTTCATGTGTACTCCTTTCTTTTTGCAATAATTTATAGACCATTTTCACTGCTTCGTCTTCTCTGTCTTAGAACTAAGGCACAACATTTGATGTCTGCATAGATACTGTGGACTCAGGGTACTGCGGGGCAGCTGGTATCTCATCATAAGCCTTATCCCTGTCCTGAAGCCTTATCCCTGTCCTGCTGGCAGAACCTCAGTCTTATCTCACAGCGTTGCTACTTTTGTTGCTGCTGTTGCTGCCACTGCCAATCTGCACCCACTTCTGGCTGGGGACACACAGCATCCCAATCTGCTGAGACTTGAGTATGTGTGACCTGGTGCTGAGCCAACAGGTTGGCTTCTGCACTGCCTCTGTGCCTGTGGGCCTGAGCGTGTGTATGCACAGCTGCCACCCAGCTGCTCGAGTTCATGCTCCAGTGTCCCAGTGGACTTCACCTTCTGAGCACAGATGCAGAGATAAAATTATTAAGAATTTTAAAACAGGAACAATAAAGCATCAAACCGAACACAGGGACTTATTGAAAGTGGGTCCCTGTGTAACTGGAAGGTCACACACACATGAGTGAAACCTTCATGCCAGGGTCATAGTAAGCCTACATCATCAAAACAAAATTAAAGTCATTTTGAAAATACATTGAATGCATGTGAGTAGTTTGTTCATGCTTTAATGGAATTTTTACACACACACACACACACACAATTCAAAAGTGCAAATTATAAACTCATAAGTGAGTAGTTTGTTCATGCTTTAATGGAATTTTTACACACACACACACACACACAATTCAAAAGTCCAAATTATAAACTCATAAGTGAGTAGTTTGTTCATGCTTTAATGGAATTTTTACACACACACACACACACACAATTCAAAAGTCCAAATTATAAACTCATAAGTGAGTAGTTTGTTCATGCTTTAATGGAATTTTTACACACACACACACACACACAATTCAAAAGTGCAAATTATAAACTCATAAGTGAGTAGTTTGTTCATGCTTTAATGGAATTTTTACACACACACACACACACACAATTCAAAAGTCCAAATTATAAACTCATAAATTTTGGAACTGTGTGTGCTGACCAATAAATGACTATCCTATTTAATTGAAAGAGTTCTGTATCTTGTATGTATTATTTTACTAAAATATTGTTCTATGATACTCTGCAGATATAGTATAATGATTAATATTATATACTAAAAAATGCCTTACCAATGATCAAAATATATGCAATACATATAATAAACATATAATTTGAATCCTATTGAAAGTAAACTGATTAAGTTCTGATTTATGCTTAATCTTGCTTTTATTTTAATTATTCAGCAACAAATTGCTCTTCATAATTAGTGTTTTATTCCTCAAAGTGTTCACTCATTTAATACACTGCTTCACTGAGGTAGCACTGAAGTAATTATTTTGGAGGAAAATGTATTGATACAAATTACTAGAAGCATAATTAAATAAAATTGCTTATTCTACCTGGGAGTTTTCATATAGAAATAATGTATCTTGAGCTTTCTCTGGGTGTAAGTCAGAGGACTTTCTAGACAGTTTTGACACTGTGCATTTATTATTGCTGAGTTTGTAGTCAAAGTGGAGGGCTTTGGCCAAAAGAAAAAAGAAAAGAAAAGGAGGAATGTTTATTTGATGGTCTAGACTGCCATATAAAGGACATTCAAACTCAAACTCAGCTGTACCTTAGTTAATATCATATTATAGGAATAATACTTTCCCCTAGTCTATTATCTTTTTCATGAGCTGAAATACATTATTGAATATCTGAATTAATTCTTCAAGCATTTGAAAGCACATATGAGTATAAAAGGTTGAATAGATAAAAATGTAGCAAAGCATAATATAGAATTAGAGACTCAGAAATACACATACCAACTGCTAAAATATTAAAAAATCAGAATGATAACAAAGTATTGCAATAAGCACACCAAAGAGAATGAGTGCTGCTGACCTAGATTACCAAATTTTGATAAGTGTGTCCAATTTATTTTTTCAAAGTTGAAGTAACTTTTCATTAATAATGCATGCCAGCTAGAAAGTTGCATTAAGAAATTCTTAAGACAAAGAACATAGAACATAATTTACCTAAATT